GATGTGCATAGGGATTTGATTCTTAGAAGGTCCCAGTCGTCTATTTTATCTTCTCCTGGTTGTAGATCTAATCTCTATTTTTAAAGTTCTCTGCTGATGTGTTGTTCCAGTTGTTTTTGGATAATTTTCAGCAGAATCTTGCTTGCATGTCATATCAGTGATATTGTTTGATAATTTCCACACTCTGTTGGGTCACCTTTCTTTGGAATGGGAACAAATATAGATCTTTTCCAGTCAGTTGCCAAGTGGCTGTCCTCCAGATTTCTTGGCACAACTTGGTGAGCACATCGAGGGAAGCATCTGTTTGTTGAAATATGTCAACTGGTATACTGTCAATTCCTGGGGTTTTGTTTTTTGCCAATTCTTTCAGAGCAACTTGAATTCTTCCTTCATCACCACAGGCTCTTGCTCACATGCTATCTCATGAAATTCTTCTGTGCCTGTCAATTCCTTTAGGTACAATGACTCTGTATACTCTTTGCATCTTCTTTTAATACTTCCTCGATCATTTAATATTCTGCTCGGAGTATCCATAAGCATTTTAACTTGAGGCTTGAATTTGTTCTTCAATTCCTTCAGCTTATGAAATGCTGAGAGTTCAGCTCTTCTGATTTGCTGACTCCAGCTCTTCGTCCATTATAGTATTTTCCTTTGCCTTCTCACACTGCCCTTTAGAATCTTCTGTTCAGCTCCTTAATTTCTTTGCTTTGCTTTGGCTTCTCGGCGCTCTAATGCAATAAATTCAGACTCCTGTGTGACATCCATCTTGTTCTTTTCTTCCTCCTCTGTCTTTGTACTGAACCCCTGCATTCTTCTTGGATGATGTTCTTGAAATCCTTCCACAGCTCATCTGGCCAGAGTGCAGGCTGGGTTTAGAAGAGGCCATGGTACTAGGGATATTACAGTTAATGTTGGATCTTGGCTGAAAGCAGAGAGGAATGTCTATCTGTGTTTCATTGACTATGCAAAGGCATTTTTGACTGTGTGGACCACAACAAATCGTGGCTAACCTTGAGGAGAATGGGAATCCCAGAACACTTGACAGTGCTTATGCAAAAGCTATACTGGGACCAGGAGGCAGTCGTCAGAACAGAGCAATGGAACACTGCATAGTTAAAACTGGGAAGGGTATATACCAGGGATGTATCCTATCTCCATACCTTTTCAATCTACATGCAGAACAGATTATCTGGGAAGCTGGGCTATATGAGGAGAAATGTGGCATCAGGATTGGAGAAGAGTCATCAACAATCTGTGTTATGCACATGACACAACCCTGCTTGCTGAAACTGAGGAGGACCTGAAGTGCTTGTTGCAGAAGGTCAAGGACTGCAGCCTTCAAGATTGAAGCTCAACATCAAGAAAACAGATTCTCACCACTGGGCCAATTGGCAGCATCAGTATGGATAGTGAAAAGATTGAGATAGTTAACAGCTTCAGTTTGCTTGGCTCCACAATCAACACTCTTGGTACCAGATGAACTGCACTGGGAGAGTCTGCTGTCAGAGACCTCTCCAAAGTACTGAAGAGAAACTATGTCAGTCTGGAAACTAAGGTGCACTTGATTCAGGCCACAGTCTTTGCAATTACTTGCTGGACAATGACTAGAGATGACAGAAAGAGAACTGAGAGGGGCCTTTGAGCTGTGGTGCTGGAGAATATATCTTGGACTGCTAGGAGAACAAACGGGTTCATACTAGAGAGGGTGAAACTGGGCTATTCCTTGGAGGCAAGGATTCTGAAGCTTCATCTGACATACTTTGGACATGCTGCAAGGAAGGACTCGTCCCTGGAGAGGGACAGCGTAAGTGCAAGAGAGGAAGACCCTGGATGAGATGGATTGATTCAGTGGCTGGGATAATGGGGATAGGTGTGTCAGAGACAATAAGATTGGCACAGGATAGAGTAGGGTATAGGGCTATTGTAAAGAAGGTCGCTATACTGTGGCAATTGGACAATTAAAACAGACATTTGGGGGGGGAAGAAGAACGAACTGGGGAGGAGGGTAGAGAAAACAGTGCAACAATGAATGAATGAGAACCCAAAATCTCTGTAAATGTTCATTAAAACTAATAAAATTTAATAATAATTTTTTTTTTAAAAAAAAAGAAGGTCGCTAAGTGTCACAAGCAACTCGACAACATACAATAACAACAACAACATTTTTAAAGTTATGGCATGAAGATAGACGTACATTATCTTTCGGCGATTCTTTCTGTCAATTTTTTGTTTTGGTTTTTTTTGAGGGATACCTTGATTTTTGTTTGTTTTAAACTGTTTATTTGGGTCATCAAAAACAAGATTGTGTGATCCAGTTTGCTACCATCTTTACTTAGAAGGGCCTGCTTATGCTGTTAAATAAAAGCTTAAACTGAATATACATATTAAAACTTTGGCAGTCAGTAAGCAATCAGAAATGAAAAGAGATAGAACATTTAAAGAAGTAACCTTCAAATGAATCTTCAAACAAATCAAAAGCTTAGGACAAAATGATCTTTGGTGAGACGGTAAGATTTATCAATTTTATATCAAAATGTAATTTCTGAAGTACAAAGTAAGTTTCCTTTTCGCTTTAGGCTTTGTATATGCGGAATGACGTTATTGTAAAGGTGTTTCTATACTCACAGGCCAAGGCCGCAGCTCCTCCAGTCCCTTTTCCAACTTATCAATGTCTGAAAACTTAGTGGCTCCATCTGCATCCGCCATAAGAATCTTTTTTCCTCGAGAACTGAATATACCCTGTTTGAAAAAAGAAATCTGCTTAAAATTAAAGCTAAATATAATGATATTTTAGTTTATTAGCCTTTACTTAAAAGAGTTATGAGTAAAATATTAAGTATGAAATGGCAAAAGGAGATTTAAAGTTCATGGAAAAGAAAATAAATTAGTTAAGATCTTCCCTCAAATGTCTCCCGTCTTTCTATTATTACTGTTTTACAAATGTTGTGAGGTTATATTACTAATATTTAGGAAAACAGCAAGACAATAAAAACAGATTTGGAATAATTAAAGAGGTTTTGTATCAATAAGAATAAAAAAAGCAAAATCCCTATCATATACTTATTACATATGCATTGCATAAACGTCATGGTAATTAAAAAGGGCCTCAAGATACAAAGATCATGTTGATAAGCATACTGAACAAAACTCATGAACAAATTTATACTATTGTTATAAAATGCATCATTAGGATACAGATCTTTAGCATTCTTTTTGTTTCCCATAATCCAAACTTTATTGGAAAGATTGACACCAAAAGAAGTGCCACATATTACATCACAAAAGAAAATGTTATTGTATGATCTTGGTGGTTTAATCAGAATTACTGCTTGGTAAGACTTTCTGTGACCAAACAGAAATTCAGGAAGTTGTATAGAACATTAGTGTTGCTTTCTTCTAAATGAACAACCTTCTGAGTCTTGCTTCTCCTGTGGATGGACACAACACTGGTGAACAACCTACACAAAGAACTGCTGTCTGAGCAGGGCTGAAAACTGTGTTCATCTTATACAACCATATCGTAAGAATTTGGGCTTTGAACTAGTTGTTTCTTTTTATGCTTTTTCTTCTCATCTTCCAAGGAAGGATGTAGTAAAAGTCTTGCCAAAGGCATGGTGATACTTTCTTATGCCCACCTCTATCAGAACTTAGCATTCTTTATTATCGGACCAACATATTTTAAATGGATAGCAGAATAAATAAATACAGAGTGTCTTTCAAATTTAGAAGTGTGGGTACATCCATATACTATTTTGTCATTTGAGTCTGTCTGATGCTTAGCAAAATTATGTCAGTTAATTTTCAACTGATTTGCTTTTTTATAAATTACAGATTCAGGGTGTATATATATTTCACACAAAAATAAAATGTACACTAACTCTCAATTTCCATAATATATCTGACAAATGGTTATTCCTTTAGTGTGAGAATATTTATGGTTTGGTACAATAAAATATTTCTGGAGAAGAGCACTGAATATCCCAAAGATGGCCAAGGGAATGAATAGATAGGTCTTGGAGAGGGTGCAGCCAGAGTGCTCTTTGGAGGCAAGAATGATGGGGCTTTGCCTAACATATTTTGGACATGTTGCTTAGAGGTGCTATTCCTTAGAGAGGGACATGAAGTAGGAAAGGGTGAAAGGTTAGTGAAGGTGAGGAAGACCCTCGACCAGGTGGATTGACAAGGTGACTGCTACAATGGGCTCTTGTGTATCAGGAAGTGTGAAGATGGCACAAGACAGGACTAGACTCAGATCTTCTGTTCATAGGGTTGCTATGAGTCATACTTGACGAGGTGGCACCTAACAACAACAACAACAATAAAGTAAAGTTTTTTAACATAAAATAAGCAAATATGTTGTAATATACCCTTGAGATGAAACTGACCCATAGCTGCCTATCCAGGTCAGAGTTTTCAAAAGTAGTTAACTGCATGGGAGGAGACTGCCCATTTTTCTCCCACAGAGCACTGGTGGATTCAAACCACACACCTTTGAAAATGCAGTGCAGCTTTTTACCACAAGACCACCAAAGCTCCTTATTGGATTGGTAGTGCAGTGCAGCTTCTTACCACTGGGCCACCAGGGCTCTCTACTAGACAATCACCACTAGGGCTCTTAAATACAGGTAGGATATATACTAATATGGAAATCTGATTATTTGTTCTGTAGTCTTAACCAGCTTACTAATTAGTATTTTTTTAAGACTTTTCCAGTACATTCTTTAGAATATGGGGTATAAAGCAAAGATACTGGAGTATCAGAACCCTTGGAAACTGCCTTTTCTAGCCATTGTGTTAGCCTCCATGGGGGGGAGGGACATGACATGGTCTCCAGCTATGCTAACCGCAGACGCAGGTTCTTGCAAATAATCAACAGCTGTGAGAACAATACAAGAGAACACTTTCCACACTGTGAGAGGCAATAACAGTGGTAGAGAGAGGGTGAAGAGACTGTGGCACTACTTTGAGACACACCAGTGGAACCCTGGAGATGGAGCCACAGTTACAGGGTTTGCTTGCTGGATAACTGAAGGAAAACCTTGTAACTGCTCTGAGATAAAGTATGCTGAACTAATTGAGGAAACAGGTTTATTTGGGGTGCTAAACTGAATCTAGACTTTCACTGGTTGACTAAGAAGCTGTCTGAGGGAGCTCTGGTGGCCTAGTGGCAAGAAGCTGCACTGCAATCCCAAAGGTGTGCAGTTAGAATTGACCGGAAGCTTTGCTGGAAAAGGAGGGCAATCTCCGATTAGATGGCACACAAGAAAGAAAATGAGAGAAAAAAAAAGCAGCTGTCAGAACTAAGGAATTGTGCTTTGTTAATCAGGCTTGGAACTGTTTGAATAAACTTGGACTTGTATGATATTCTTTGCCTCCCCCACTCCTCCATTTCCCTAATAAACCCCACAACTGGGAGTAAATTTGCAATGAACACTGGACACAACGATTCACAGAAATAAATGCATGAGCATGTGGGGTGGCCTGTCTGGCCATGCAGCTATTTGTACATTACTATGGATATTGATGGGGAAAGTTCCACTTTATCAAGCGGGTAGAAGTCAGACCGGGCCACCCCTACATTGTATCTGCTCCTTTTGCAGATAAAAATAAAACACCAAACAAAAAAATCATCCAAAAAACATATATGGTCTTTTACAAAAGAGAAAACATTACAGGACTACAACCTGGAGCTACTGGTTTGAAACAGGGAAAAAGAGAATCATCAATGTGTAACTATTCATTTAATGGCAGATGATAATATGGTTGGGGTGGGCTAGAGGTTGTTATTTAGCATCACTGGAAAGTTGCCTGTTGCCTTCAGACCGTGTAAGCCTCTCATTTTAGGGGCAATCAAAGCTTCTCTGGATCCTGTTACACACTCAGCTGCCATCTATGCTCCTGACTTCATTGTCAAATTCCCTGAGAAGGTGGTCTGCATTAGTGGTTTCCATTTCTTGTCTCCACTCTCATAATTTTTTCTCCTCTGACCACTCTCTCTGTGATTTGTTGTCTTCTTCCTCATGTACCTCATTTCCCCAAGACCCAGCTCCTGGCTCTCAGCTTCCATCTTTTTCTCTTTACTGCAATACAAGCCAATTCTATGGCTTCAGCTATTGCCCGATGCAGCCAATAACTAATACAATTTACTCCCACTTTTCCTCCCAAGCTGCTTTGGCTTCACGGACTCGGTACCTTAAACTCAATATGGCTCAAAGTATATTCCCTCAACTCAGCAAAAATCAGCTCTCCAGGGTGTTTCCCTCCTTCCACTAAGGGCATTACTATCCTCTCGGTTATCTAAGGACATTAACACATCTTCTTCTCCTTTTGTTTCTTATTTTCACATAATTGCCTTAGTTGGTTTTTCATTAGATTGGAAGATTTACAAAATATTCCATAAAATGTTACAACAGTCTCTAAAAGCTTCTCTCAATTTTCATAGCACATTGTGTATCGCATCAGTTAAAAAATGAGTACCTTTCTTCACCCCACTGTTCTGTACATGGTGGTGTGTTTGACTTTATCTTTTAAAGCTTCCCACATTTGCCCCGTTCTTCTCAAAGTCAGCCACAGTTACAATTCACACAGTCAAATACCCTTAAATAGTCTATAAAACACAAAAATTCTTCTGGTTTTTCTGCTTTCAGCCAAGAGCCATTTGACATACCTAGTGTCACAATTTCTTTTAAATCTAGCTTGAATTTCTGATAGGTCCTTGTTGATGTACTGTTCTGGTCATTATTGGTTAATCTTCATCAAGAATTTACTTATGTGTGCTATTTATGCCACTGTTTGATGAATTCCACATTCTGTTGGATCAACTTGCTCCCAGGCAGCTGGCTAGGTAACTCTCTTCCAAATTTCTTGGCACAGACTGGTGAGCACATTCCGAGCTACTCTGTTTATTGGAATATCAACTGGTATCCCACCAAGTACCAGGGGCCTTATTTTTTTTTTTTTGTCAAAGTCAACAATGCATCTTGGACTTCTTCCTTCATGATCACTGGCTTCTGATCATATACTACATCCTAAAACGGTTCAATTGGACTATTCATTTTTTTAGTTACAGTGACTCAGTATGCTTCCTGGGTCATTTAAGATCTTGCCCATAGCATCTCTCAATACTGCAACCCAAGACTTGACTAAATTTCCAGTTCCTTTAGCTCAAGCAGTGCCGAGAGAGGTGTTCCTTTTCTATATTCTAACTCAAGCTCTTTGCACACTTTGTTAGAGTACACTGTCCTCTGGAGGTGTCCTTTCAAGTCTGTTCATCTCCTTTACTCTGGCATTTCCCTTCATTTTGGCTTCTTCTCGTTCTAGTGCAATTCTGAGTTTCTTCTGACATTCATTTTGGTCTTATCTTCCTCTTCTGTCTTTGTAATGACCTTTTGCTTTCTTCATGGATGATATCCCTGATATCATCCCACAACTCTTCAATCATCAGTTCCTCAAACCTATTCTTTAGTAGATGATTTTAGAACTCAGGTGGGACTGACTCAAGGTTGTATTATGACTCTTGTGCTCTTGTTTTGAGTTTCTTCAACTTCAATCTAAATTTACACATGTGAGTAACTGAGAAAAATGGGAATCTCAGAATACTTCATTGTACTCAGAAGAAACCTATAAGTAGACCAAGAGGCTATTGTCTGAACATAGCAGCGAAACACTGTATTGTCTAAGATCAAGAAAAGTGTCCGCCAAGGCTTCATCTTTGTCCATACCTACTCAATTTGTATGTAGAACAAATCATCTGAGAGGCTGGATGTTATGGGAGGAAGTAAAAAAAGCATCATTTTCAGTTGCTCATCAACAACGTGAAGTATGCTGATGACACAACATTGCTTGCCAAAAACAAAAAAGGAACTGAAATACTTATTATAGAAGGTCAAAGACTACAGTCATCAATATGGATTATACTGCAATATTCAAGAAAAAAAAAATCTTCACAACTGGGCCAATAGGCAACATCGTAAGAGAGAGAGAGAGGACTGAAGTGGTAGACAATTTCATTTTGCTTGGATCCACAATAAATGCCCTTGGCAACAGTAGTCAAGAAATCAAAATACACATTGTGTTGGGGAAGTCAGTGGTGGGAGAGCTCTCCAATGTACTAAAGAGCAGCAATGTCAGTCAAACAACTAGGATGCGTCGGAATCAATCAGTGATCTTTTCCATTACCTCCTATGCATCTGAACGTTGGACACTAAGGATGATGGGAGAAGATTTGATGCCTCTGAGCTCTGGTACTCGGGAAGAGTACTAAATATTCCACGAGCTTTCAGAAGAGCAAATAAGTATGTCTTGGCGGAGGTGCAGCCAGGGTGCTCCCTGAAGGAAGGATGATGGAACTCCACCTCATGTACTTTGGGCATACTGTTAGGAGTGCTCAGTCCTTGGAAAAGGAGATCATGCGTGGAAAGGCAGAGGGCCAGTGAAGAGAGGCAGATCCTCAATGAGACTGACTGACACATTGGCCGGAGCAATGGGCTCGAGTCTATCAGCTCTGAGGAGATGGTGAGGATGGCACAGTATGGAGCAGGCAGGGTTCAGGTCCGCTGTTTATAGGGTCACTCTGAGTCGTGACTGACAGAAGAGCATCTAACATTTGTCCAGCCCTCTTCTTCCGCTGTGTCACTATCATAATCCAAATACATACTCAATGTACTTGAGCGTCGCTCTGTGGAAGAAGTTCAGAAGCCCTAAAGTTCTTGACCTGAACTTCCTGCCCCTGTGGCTTCATCACGCACGTCAAGGCACACCCCAGCGGTGACCTCACTGCAGTCCGTTCCCTCACTTTGTCTGCCAACCTCTGTACAATTTTTGCCTGGACATGTCTTAATACTCTCAGTTCAGAATCTCCCTTCACTGGGAAGCCATTCTTGAGTCTCTGTGTCAGCTGTGGAACCAGGAGTTTGTCCATCCTGGTGCAGCATTAACAACACTGCACAGTAATTGTTTTGTATTCCTTTTTCCCTCTCACCCCCCAAACTAGGATATCCTGAAGCACAGGATGAAATATTTTTCATGGTGGAATCTCTAAAAAAAGTACCTGTCACCTGCAGTACACACACAAACACTAGATGAATAAAGAAATGGGCAGATTTAAGGAATCCCCGTGATCTTGCACCAACTCTGATGCCTTTTCAATCTCTTTCACGTGTCCTGTGACATGGTCGGAGTGAGCACCCAGAGAGAGTTAACTCACTGTTCCCAGCGTGGGTCAGGAGATAGAGAAGATCTATCTCCCAGTTTCCTATTTGGCAAGCTCTTCTTTCAAATTCTTCTCCAGAGACTTCAGAGCTAAATTAACCTAAGCCAAATCTTGAGCCCACCTCTTAATATGCACGATCCCCAGTAAGTTACTTTACTTCCGTGTGCCTCATTTTCCTTGTCTTAGTAATTAAAACAAGTCAACTAACGCAGGAGAGACTGTGAGGAGGATTAAATGTGATAATTATGTCCAGAGCAAAAGCAGCAGCCAGGAAGTGGGAGGCAGTGCTCTCTACTGTCCAAAGCCTGGGTGCAATCATCTACCCTGGTGCCATCTTTGCTAACTTTCTCTTCATGTGGCTGGGACTATCCAAGATCTAGTTTCCCGTTCTTCCAAGTAGTGTAACCCTAATTTGACTGGGAATGAAAATATTAGACAAAAACATTTTTTTTCATTCTTTCTTGGAAATGGGAGGCCCATGTAACATTGTTGTGGCCAATAAAACAAGAGTTTCAGTCTCACTGCTGTCACTCAGAACTGACTCATAGCTGACCCTCCTTTTTAAAAAAAAAAAAATTAAAAAAAATTTATTTTTTATTATTTGTTTCTATGTACCATCAAATCGGATCTGACTGGTACAAGAGGAGCTTGCCCCTCTTTCTCCGGCAGAGCATCTGGTGGATTTGAACCGTGCGCCTCTGGGATTGCAGTGCAGCTTCTTACCACTAGGCCACCAGAGCTCCCCTAAAAAATTTTTTTTAAAAAAATTATTTTTTCTGATGTGTACTGTGCCCCTCCTTCTCCAGCAGAGCATCTGGTGGATTTGAACCACACAGCTCTAGGATTGCAGTGCAGCTTCTTGGCACTAGGCCACCAGAGCTCCGCTGACCCTCCTTTAAACTGCATGGAAGAAGATTATCCAGCTTTTTCTTGAGGAGCAGCTGGTGAGTTTGAACCGCCAGAGAGGTGCCACCTTTGAGAAACTCCTTAGTGGCTCTACTAGAGCTCCTGAATGAGGTAAAAGTAAAAGATAACTGGCTGAAATTCCGAGGAAGTTATTTAAAAGAAGGGAAATCAGCTGGCCCGTACTGTCAGTGCTCTATCTCTCCCTTCCGTGTGGAACGTGGATGAAGGGCTCCAAGGGTCACCCTCTGCACGTGAGAAGGGGCACTGAACAGTGTGGCACTGGGGTCTTGGTGACATCTACTCTGCCTACTTCCAGATTCCTTCAAGTAGGAGAAAGAATAAATAAACCTCTACACCATGTAACATTCTTATTATATGTTTTTCACTTCCCAAATGCAACAGATCTTGATTTCCACATGATATGCCTTACCTTATAAAAAAGAAACAAAAAGACAACATCCTTCCTTCTTGGACCTCTGAGAGCACTTCATCTGTTCTCTCTCTCATACTTATCACCACTTTCTTATTCACTCATATATATGCTTAGCCTTTCCCACTGGACTGCAAGTCTCACAAGGGGTGACCCAGGTCAGATCCAGCACAGTTCACAATACCATGCTTAGCCTAGTGCCTTCACACAGAGAAGTAACATACGAAAGCATTTTGCAAATTGCAAAAAATAAAACTCTGCCAAAATGACACCATTGTACTACTTGGCGTCTACATTTATGGCAGAGAGAGACAGACAGCAACATTGGAAAGACCTAATTAAGAGAAATGTTTTCTGAATCATCTAGTATATCACAGTTGTGCCATAACACTTCCAGATCTAAGATAGAATGAGGATTAAAAATGTTTTCAGTAAGTTGAAAGGCCAGTATTAACTAGCTACCTGCTGAATACACGTGTGTGACAGTGTACAAAGAGCTTCCTCCAACTATCTCTATATTTTAGATGAAAATGCCAAAAAGTGTATTACCATCCTGATGGCTCCTCCTTTCCCACGATTCTTCACCAGCGTCAGCACCCGTACTTTGTCACTTCCGTATTTCTGGCAATATTTAAAAGCTACCTGTTAAAGTAAGAATAGAGTAAGGTGAGTTCCAAGACAGTTACATCAGAGTGGGTTTATTTTTGCTCCAACCGCTCTTCCAGTTTCCCTCCTCCTGTGGGTGGGTTACACGCACTGCACACTCTCTGTGGCTCAGAGGAGTTTATAGAATTCCTCTGACGACATGGATGGATCAACACGGACATACTATGCTGAAGTCACAGTTCAGTTTTCTGCAGAGGGACCACCAGAACAGACACTGACCACCTTCCTTCCCTGACTCATAGACCTACATTACTGAGCTGCTAGAAACAAGTTCACTCACACGCTACCCGACCAATATGAACCTGTGACCAGGCCACGATGCTGAATGACACGCTGACTGGTCCACTCAGGGGCAGTTTATCTTTTTCTCCAGGGAGGTTGTTCCTGCCGTGGGTCGTTTCTCCCAATCTCACTCAAAGCTTCTTCTCTCAGCAGATACCACCCATCCCATTACTTCTCTCCAATCTTTTTTTCCTAGTTGGCTCCTCTGCTTCAAACTTGTAGCATCTGAAAAGCTTTCCTTAGATCTCATTATTACTTTAAGCACCTGCCCTTGCTTTCTGATTTACAATGCTGTGCCACAGTAATCCATTTTTTTTGTTTTTGTTCTCAAAGCACTTTAATGCACACACCAAGCCACAGTCCCTGCCTGCTGGCTGGGTAAGAAAAGGCTAGCCCCACCTAGAGGCTCTCATGGCTGCCCACATCCCAACAGGTCCGAAAGTTGGGGCCTGCATACATTCCCATCAGTAGGTGAGGGGTGTGAGGATGAAGAGGTGATCTTCCCCTCTGCGGATCCAATGCATCAACTTATGGACAGCATTGACTGCCAATGCTTTGGTGCCCAGGGGGCTGTAGCACATGGAGAGCTCAAAGGCACCTGTCACCCAGGCCAGGAGGTTCTCGCTGGGTCCTGTGTAGTAGATGGTCTTGGGTGGCCGGGAGGCATTGTGGGCACAGCTGTGCAAGTACTGGTAGAGGCCGCTCCTGCTCCTCTTCACTTGTGTAGGGGGCCCTCGATCTCAGGGCTGGCAAACAGTCCTGAGCTCTTTGACTTAAAGAAGTGGCAGAGGTCCGGGATACCCACTTGGGCCACACTGTGGTAAGGTGTGCGTAGGGCCTCCTGCAGGGCCAGGTGGGCTCCGCGCTTCCGCAGGTGCTCCTGGAAGTGGCGTCGGCAGTCAGAAACCGCAAATAAGTCCTCCCGGTCAGTGGAGACCAGCAGCAGGCAGAGGTCAGTATCAGGCTCCAAGTAAGAGATGTGTGCGTGGAAGAAGCCTGCGGCGTTGAATTTGGGCAGGCACACGGGCGTCCAGGCTTCACCCTCACGGAAGGACAAAGAGGAGCTGATGAGGTTGGAAAGCGAGTGCAGATCGATGGGGTTTAGGAATGGGTCCTTGTGACGCACCAGCACCACAAGCTGCTTATGGGCCGTCAGGATGGAGAAGACGAGGCGAGGGCCTTGGCCTGCTGCAAGCTGGAGCACACGGCTGCGCCCATCAGGAAACTGGGGTCCTGGGCCATGAGTTGCAGCAGGTTGTCTGTGATCCGCTCCGAACCTGAGGGCAGGTGCCTCAGGTCGTAGTCTGCTTCAGCTGGGCACCGGTGAGAAGGCTCAGGATCTGGTAGTAGATGTCCAGCACTCCTGAGCCAGCTCCTGTGCCGACTGCCGTGTGCGCGCTTCGGCCACCAGCACCAGCGGGCTTCGGCGCACGAACACCACTTTGTAGCCATCTGGCTCCATTCCCGGGGCCAGTCCTGGTGTGGGGCTCTCAGTTCTCTCCATACTCTGTCTGTCAGAAGGAGCCAATGTGCCATTCACTGCTTCGCTTCCTCTGCATGTCAGCCGTCATCCCTCGGGCTCTCCTATTTCTCGGCTGGGGGGTAGGTGGTCAGGACGCACAGAAGGTGCTGGTCACTGCCCTCTGACCGGCTCAAGGTGGGGAGGGGGGTCCGAATTGGTCCAGCCTGAGGGTATAGACTGGAGGGGCCACGGTTCCCTGCAGATGCAGACGTGGCCACAGTGCAGGCATGCTCTCACCCAGCCGCAGGCCCAGGAAGACAGCCTCTCCTGTCTCTCGCAGCCGAGGCCCAGCTCCAGCCTCTCCAGTAATCCATCTTTTAATAAGAGTTTTATTTACAATCCTTAAGAGTTGTCTATACAAAGAGCGCTCTGTAGAGAAATCCAACTGATTTTTGTATGTTGATCTTGTATTCTGCTACTTTGATGAACTGGTCAACTGTGTTCAATACTTTTCTTGCTAAGTCTTTAAAGTTTTCTAGGTATACTATCATATCATCTGCATAGAGAGATAATTTTACCTCCTCTTTGTCAATTTGGATATCTCTTATTTCCTTCTCTTGTCTTATTGTCATCACTAAGACTTCCAATACAATACTGAATAAGAGAGGTGAGAATGGGCAAAGAGAATACAGAGGTCGAACTAAGAAAAACAATACCTTTCACAATAGCGAATCACAAGATTAAATACTTGGGAATAAATCTAACCAGAAACACAAAGGATCTATTCAAAGAAAATGATAAAACACTACTAAAGAAACAAAAAAGAGACCTGGAGAAGTGGAAGAGTATCCCTTGCTCATGGATAGGAAGACTCAATATCGTGAAAATGGCAATACTACCAAAGGCAATTTACACGTTCAACACAATCCCAATAACAATACCAATCCCATTCTTCAAGGAGATGGAAAAGGTAACTTCCAGTTTCATTTGGAATGCAAAGAAGCCCCGAATAAGCAAAGCAGTCCTTAAAAATAGAAAAAAGACAGGAAGCACCTCACTCCCTGATTTCAAATCCTACTACACTGCCATGGTGGTTAAGACAGCATGGTACTGGTACAATGACAGACACATAGATCATCGGAATAGAATTGAGAACCCAGAAATCAGCCCATCTATTTATGGTCAACTCATTTTTGACAAGGAGATGAAATCAGTTAAGTGGGGAAAAGACTTTTTAACAAATGGTGCTGGTAAAATTGGAAAAATATCTGTAGAAGACTCAAGCAAGATCCACACCTCACTCCATATACAAAAACCAACTCAAGGTGGATCATAGATCTAGGACTAAAACCAAGGACTAGAAGCTTCATTAAAGAAAAGCTTGGAAGAACTCTAGTAGTCATAATCCACAACATAAATGGTCTTCCAAGTATCCTGAAAAATCTACAATCAGGAGAAGAAAAAAATAGATGAATGTGATCTTCTAAGAATCAAATCCCTATGCACATCCAAAAACTTCTCTAACAGGGTAAAAAGGGAAGCCACAGACTGGGAAAAAGTGTTTGGTAATGACATGTCAGATAAGGGACTTATATCTAGAATTTATAAAAAACTTGAGCCCACCAGAAGATAAAGGTAAATAATCCAATTAAGAAATGGGCACAGGATATGAACAGACACTTCACCAAAGAAGACATTCAGATGGCTAACAAGCACATGAAGAAATGTTCAAAATCCCTAGCTCTAAGAGAGATGCAAATCAAAACAACTATGAGATACCATCTCACCCCAGTCAGAATAGCAAAATTTAACAGAACAGCAAGCAACAAATGCTGGTGAGGTTGTGGAGAAACTGGAACCCTTATTCACTGTTGGTGGGAGTGTAAAATGCTACAACCACTGTGGAAGGCAGTATGGCGCTTTCTCAAAAAGTTGCAAATAGAGATACCATTTGACCCAGGATTTCCGCTACTGGGAATATACTCTAAAGAGACCACAACCGACATCCAAGCAGATATATGCACACCCATGTTTATCGTGGCTTTGTTCACAATAGCAAGGAGTTGGAAACAATCCAAGTGCCCATCAACAAACGAATGGATAGAGAAGCTGTGGTATATTCATACAATGGACTACTATGCTGCATTGAAAAACAAGGAACTCAAGCAATAGTATTCAAAATGAGTGAGCCTGGAGGACATTATGCTGAGTGAAATGTCTCAGTCACAAAAGGACAAATACTGCATGGTGCCACTGTTGTAGAATGGGACTGATATCAGGGTTAGGATAAGACTGAGAAAAACCAGATAAATTATGTAAACTGCATTGAAACAGATGAGGGAGAGAATAATTTAAAAGCGATATATGATAGGGTATTATAGTTATCCCAAGAGTCCAGAATTAAGGGTGCATAGTGGAGTGTACCTGGGGCGGTGGGAGGGGTGTGGGGGGGATTATATACCAAAGAAAGAATTTTTCTTTTACTTTTTCAAAGAGAGGAGCAAACTGGGGTGGGGGGTGGAGGGGAGGGCTGTGCAGGGAGAAAAGTGCAACAATGAATGAATGGAAATCCAAAATCTCTGTAAATGTTCATTAAAATTATTAAAATAAAAACAAACAAACAAACAAAAAAACCAAAACAAGCTCCACTGCAATCCCAGAGGTATGCAGCTCGAATCCACCAGATGCTCTGCTGGAGGAGGGGCAATCTCCTCCTATCAGTCAGATCCGATTTGAAGGTACACACAAAAAATAATAAGAGCTGTCTATACAAGTAATGGAGGCAGGTGTCTCAGTAATTCATGTTTGCTATCAACATTTCTCTAATTCATTGTCGTGTAGTTCGTATCTTTGTTTTTCAACATCCTTAACCACTTTTGACAACCATTTCCACATGCAACCGGTAAATTCTTTTCAGCTGGTGTTTGACCTATTCCTTTTCAGATTTCCTCAGTCTTTTTTCTCAGTTTGACCTTACACACGGCTCCCACCATGACGACTCTATGTTGTACAAACTGAGCACTTTGACGGGTGGACCTCAGCCGTCTTCTCCTCGCTGCTCTGCTCTTTAGTCTCACGGTGGGAGTAATCTCGTGGCTTCAGTCACTGCTTGTTTATCTCACTCGTCCATCTACAGCCCAGGCTTCTCTCCTAGTCACCAACATACGATCAACTTAAAAACACAGATTCCCACTCACCCCCTCATCCCCTCCTGATCATTCCAAGTTCCTTA